CGCGACACTAGTGACAATGGTCTTAGGTTCGCTAAGGAATCCGCGGACAACGGGATAGTAGTCGTACGTACTCGCAAAATCTAAGTGGGATTCTTTGTTCATATTCACTGACCGTAAGGCGTTAAACTTCTTGTCGATGAGATCGCAAGAGAGAATGACTTCCCGTCCCGGCGATACGGCATATGAAAACTATGATGGGGCGTGTCTAAGGACACGAGATCATCGGATTCGTCGGGGATATCCTACGTTCGGAAAGTAAGGGAAATTGACGTTGCTGCTAATTGGCCAATCTCCATATCGGTAGTTAGAAAAGGATGCTACCCGCCCTCGAGGGAAGGTTGCTAGTGGGAGACGTCGTTCGTGGAAAAATAGGTCTCTCCTGTCTTCCTGTAACTGGGACAAAGACGGTTTATCTGTTGAAGGATTTTAGGTAACTAAATATTAGTGTTTATAACGGTCCTCGGGCTGGCCGATCACGTACTGCAGAGACGCGTCGGCATCTGGTAAACATCCTGCACGGATAATAGGATCTGCGTGTGGCGAGCTACTGGACAGTAACTAACATCCTGCCCGGAGAATAGGATCTGCGTGTGGCAAGGTACGGGACAGAAAGCGTTGGAAAGTTTACTGCCACGTGCCGCTACAAATCTTTCTTTTAAGGAGAGCTATAGGGTTACTCAATGCCTTTGTTAGATGGAGAGTTCGACCCGTTGACCGCGGCCACGTTCGGCGACTAATTGTCGCCTTGAGCCCAAGCTCCTTGTCACAAGACTCAAACAAATACAATTGGGCAGAGTGACGGCAAATCGCTTAATTACAACTGTAGATTTTAATTACAATGTTTTTATAAATTTACCCGAGGTTTCGGAGGGAAGGCACCGGTGTCCTCTTATCTCCGACATGTATATATACGTGCTATGCACTCGTGCAATATAGTCGCGCGCGACTTAACGTCATTTTGCTGTTAGAATATCAGGAATCCTTACTGAGGATTTTTTTTACTTATTTATTTATCTAATGTATAGCACTATTAACTTATAATAACAATAATATATATAATGTATAATATTGTATGCAATATATAACTGTAGTATCTAAATTGTCTAGAGTAAGGACAAGAAAGGATGTTCTATTTGAAGTAAAGTTCAGTTTTATTTTAACAAGCAATACCCAATGCAAAAACTGACTACAATATCTTCGTAGGCCTTATTCTCACACTCGGCTCACAACTTCTGTCTTCCCAGGTCAAGAAAAGCTGACCCTCGACTCTCGCAACTTTCTCCCACTCCTTTGCTCATTTAGCTTTGACGTCACTAAGGCACGCTCTCTCTCTCTCTCTCTCTCTCTCTCTCTCTCTCTCTCTCTCTCTCTCTCTCTCTCTCTCTCTCTCTCTCTCTCTCTCTCTCTCTCTCTCTCTCTCTCTCTCTCTCTCTCTCTCTCTCTCTCTCTCTCTCTCTCTCTCTCTCTCTCTCTCTCTCTCTCTCTCTCTCTCTCTCTCTCTCTCTCTCTCTCTCTCTCTCTCTCTCTCTCTCTCTCTCTCTCTCTCTCTCTCTCTCTCTCTCTCTCTCTCTCTCTCTCTCTCTCTCTCTCTCTCTCTCTCTCTCTCTCTCTCTCTCTCTCTCTCTCTCTCTCTCTCTCTCTCTCTCTCTCTCTCTCTCTCTCTCTCTCTCTCTCTCTCTCTCTCTCTCTCTCTCTCTCTCTCTCTCTCTCTCTCTCTCTCTCTCTCTCTCTCTCTCTCTCTCTCTCTCTCTCTCTCTCTCTCTCTCTCTCTCTCTCTCTCTCTCTCTCTCTCTCTCTCTCTCTCTCTCTCTCTCTCTCTCTCTCT